ACTTACAACGCTAGAAACCGGGTTTGTACTTAATTACAAACATTAAACACTGTCAGATTAAGTACCCGAAACATTGAGTTCTTTGTGTTAAACATGTATTTATAAATTGCAGTTCAAGGTATTGAATAGTCTTATTTCCCGATAGTTTTCAAAATTTAAGTAAGAATTACATTTATAGCATAGTTCATTAATATTCATATATATTAGTAATGACTCAACACATAGTTATTCAACCCCAAGGTTTTGAATCTGTAATTCGGTTTCTCAGTTTACAAGTGATGAGAAGTGGTAGCTATGAAAGTGACTTTCAAAGGAATTTCAGAAAACAAAAAGGTTTCTATTGGATAGAAAGATTAGGCCTATGAAATAAACGTTGTAATCTGAGCCCTCGCGGGCTTTCTCAGATGCAGCAGGGTTTTAAACGGCTTATATTTTGCTGTTGCCTGTGTTATAAGCCCTAACCCGGTAATCAACTTTTCAACATTGATTTATGTCAGGTATTGGATATCGCATTAAAAAGGAGTTCGGTCACGCGAGCTGATGAATACAGCAAACTTCGGGTCTGTTTGTACTTGGCGAGGTTTACTATATCACCCGATAACAACGTTCTTTTCCGATGAATTTTTTTCCCTACGGAATTTCGGTTATCACTATTACACAAATGACGAACTTATCTATAGTACCTGTATTAGTTAACTTTGTCATTAGGATCGCATTAACAAAACAATTCTATGTTTTTAGAAGTTGAATTGTCAACTAGAGTTTAGTAACATTTGTGATAAAACTAAGTGATTGACATGGGACTAGTCGTGGCCTAATTGTTAACGTACCGGATTGTGGACCCGAAGGTCTGTGATACGCGTCCTGTTAACGTGAAAAAATCGTGCTTAATAAGAGTGACGGTTAATTCCCGCCATTCGATTATAGTAACCCAAGAGTTAACGATGGGCGCTGTCTACCATTTCAAAATGAAGAACATATAGTCTTTATGTACTTTTCACAAACAACCGAAACAAATAAAACAGAGAAGAAGAAGAAGGCAAGGGTGTGTTTCTTAACCAGAGATATACTGGAAGTGGAGACAGACGGGAAGAAGGCAATAGTGTGTTTCTTAACCAGAGATATACTGGAAGAGATGACAGACAGGAAGAAGGCAAGGGTGTGTTTCTTAACCAGAGATATATTGGAAGTGGAGACAGACGGGAAGAAGGCAAGGGTGTGTTTTTTAACAAGAGATATACTGGAAGTGTAGACAGACGGGAAGAAGGCAATAGTGTGTTTCTTAACCAGAGATATACTGGAAGTGGAGACAGACGGGAAGAAGGCAA